ACGGGTTCTGTAGCAGCTCCCTACTGTTTCTGTATGCACAGACATTATCTAACTCTACATTATAACATTTATCATCATATGCATATTTAGATCTTAGTGTATAAATTTAGCAAAACAAGAGATTAGTAATTATAACAGCTAATAATAAAACATATTAGCAATATTCTGCATGTAATGAAGTCTCTATTTGGCCACAGACAAGGCTGTAGGTAGAATGTGGAGGCTAAGGGTGACTTACTTTCTGGGTGGGACAGGGTAAGAACACACCCTGCTTAGTCACATAACTCTGATCAGAAATTAAAAACTTATGGGATTTTTTTTTTACATTTTATTTTCAGAATTTTCCATGAACAGTTCTGGGCTGTGGTTGAGGGTCCCCAATGATCACTTTGATGCCCCCTTTCCAGAGAGACAGTACATTAACCACCTCGTTCTTACACCTCAGAAAGCCACCCAAGCACTGTTTCATTCACAAACATCCCCTTACTGACACTTTGAGATTCTTTTGTTCCATTTAGCATTAATGCATGTGATCACATTCTAAATGCCAATAGTTTTTCCTATTCAATAGTCTCCCCAGCCTTCAGATAATTATTAAGCAGCGTTCTGTGATGTCTGTATGTCTCTTTGTCTAGATGTTATATATTGTAGAATGTTCTGGTTATTTCAGCTTTGGAGCTATATAAATAATGATACTCTCTTTGATTTTTTTCTATTTGTAAAGCAGTCAGTTTTCATTGTTAAGTACCTTAGCTTTAGATTTCATGTTGCATTTTATGTTGAGCAAGTTTCTGTCTATTCATCATAGCTTGAATTATTAAAATATATTTTTGGTGTCAATACATAAATTGATAGGATCATTTGATTTTCTTCTTTAACTTGTATAAGTGATGAATTACATTGATTTTCAAATATCTACTCTGTGTTCCTGAAACAAATTCCACTTGGTTGTGGACTGTTTCTTCCTTGATAAATTTTACTTATGAATATTTTGCTAGGTGTTTCCATGTCTACGCTTAGATTTATTGTTTTCACTTTCTTTTATCTCATTCCTTCCTTCCTTCCTCCCTCCCTCCCTCCCTCCCTCCCTCCCTCCCTCCCTTCCTTCCTTCCTTTCTTCTTTCCTTCCCTCTCATTGTCCCTCTTCCTTCCCTCCCTTCTTTCTTTCTTTCTTTTTTAGTTTCTTATTTCTTTGACTTGTATTCCCATGAGTTGTTTGAACATTTTTTGACTTTTTTTATTGTTTTTTTTATAGTTTCTATTGATTGCTCTAGATAATGTAATATATTTTGTGTACATTTTACATACTACCAGCAGGCATAGTCAGCGACTTAGAGGTAACTAGAGAACCCTTTGCTCTTGTGTTCGGTTATCTCCCCTCTTATATACTCTTGTTTGTCTGTTGAAAGCCAAAAGTTGGCATTATATACGTTGCACTTCAAGTATCTTAAATAATTTAGAATACTCAGGAGAACAAAATTCTACTGTATTTATCCATATTTTTACTTTCCATGTTTCCCATTCTTCTTTATATTCCAGGCTCCTTGGCTTTCCATATCATGTAGCTTTTTCTTTTTAATATGTCTGCTGGTGAAAAACAGTTAGCCTTCTTATATCTGAGAGCGTTTTTCATTCTTGAAAGATGATTTCATCGTATTTAGAATCTAGGCTGGCATTTCTTGGCAGTTTAAAACATTGTGCCACCCACTGTCCCCTGCCACGTTCTGATGCAGCTTTTGCTGTCACTGAATGGACTCTTTCCCACCTTTTCATATTTTTTGTGTTACAATCTTAAGTTTTAATTTTTAGGCTATATCTTTGTATGGATTTTTTGTGTTCTAATTTAAAGACACACATAATATTTTGAATCTGCAGGCTTCCATTTTTATAGTGTAGGAAATTTTCAGCTTCTAACTGGGAATACTTTTTCAGCTTACTCGTTTTTCTTCTCATCCAGTAAGGAGAATGAGGATCATTTGTCACCATGTCTCAGTCTTTGAATCTCTGTTCATCTTCTGTGAGCCTTTAGTCTGGTTCACTTGGTCATTGCTCTGTCCTCTCTACATGCAGTCTAGCCTGTCCACTTTGCTACATTGCACAGTTTTCTAGTTATACATTTTCCACTTGGTTATTTTGTGTCTTTTAACAGTTCTTGCTCTAGATCCATGAATAGGGTTTTGTAGCATTACCAGATGATATTTTATAACCTTAGTTTGCCCTTTGAAGTCATACAAGAGTTAATATTAGTGACTGCTAATGTCTACACACTACTCTTTGTGATAGTTTAAGACCCAGTTTTCTATGTGCTTGATGATCATTATTTTATTTAATTTTTATAATGACACTTGTTTTTACTCCTTTAACAAATGTAATTCAGTGCCATGAATATGATATCTTAGCCCCTTTTTTCATCAATCAGAGGAATTTTTACTTTGTTTTCAAATGTTTTAAAGTGTTAAACTACTTTGTTTACACAGTACAGGGCCACACCTTTGTGCAGTCTTGAATCAGGGAAGCTGAGAGATTGTGAACTGAATGATTCTCTAGCCTTCATGCAAACCACTCAGGACTGCACATTTAGAAGTCTCTTACAATGTATCTCCTTTAATTGAGAAACATAGAGATGCTTTTGTATGGAACCATAGTGTGTTTTGAGAAGGCAACAGGTGTTTCCTAAGCTATAAAGACTCTGCGGCTGTTGAGTAGTTCCAAGCAGGGGTATAACTGCGGCTGTTGAGTAGTTCCAAGCAGGGGTATAAGTATACAATGGGCTGGTTCCCCCATCTGCTGGTGTGTACTACTGCGATTCTAATTTTTTTATCTGTGTGGTAACATTGCTTAAGAAGCACCTTTCTGGCCCATGGGTAAAGAATAAAGTTCTTCCTGTACATTTTGGCCCAACACATCTGTAGAAGACAGCATCATTTTACCGTGACAGTAGACACTCCTACATGAGATCTTAATTGCCTGCAAGTCTTATTAAGACAGATTGCTCAGCCCCACCAATTCTTTTTGAGTCCCCAGATCTAGAGTGGTATTTGATGCATGCATTTCTAACATTTTTTGAGATTCTGTTGTTGCCATTTTAAGGACTTTTAACATCTTTTTTGCTGATATTCCCATTCGAATAACTCTTACACCATTCAAGTACTAGATCCAAGCCATCCATTGTTTAATAACTTCTAAGATGTTTTTAAAAACATCAGTGCTGTTATGAAGTGTGAATTTTATTGCCAGTGGTGTTTCAGATGACTTCTATGTCTTCTCTGATAAAAGCATTCTGCTATGGTTTTGTCATCTCAGACTTGCCTTTTTCTTTGTTTCGTTGCTTTGACCAGAAAACTGGATGCCAGCCTTGACTTTCCACTCTTTCTTGATACTAAAACTTCTCAGCTCTTTTTCTTGTGATAGCTACTGTCATTACTATTGTGTAGGTTACACTCACCTCTATCTTTCCCAGAGATTGTTGCACGCACCTTTCAATTGTAGCTTCTTTTAACCTGGTCTCTATAGAATTTAGATTCAGCCTTTTAAGGCATAGGTCAGGTTTTGTCTTAGTATTTGAGAACGGTAACCTTTAATATGGCATAAGAAGACTCGTTTAAGCTGTGCTGTGCTCAGTCACCATTTTTGCTTACCACTGTGTCCCCTCATTTCTTTAGGTGCTGGTTCCCCCATGGCACCCCAGGTTTTTTTTTTTTTTCAGTATGGTGTACTTCCTACTGGAATGTTCTTTCTTTTCCTTTCCATTTGTCTGTCTCTTTACTTGTCTGCTAAATCACATCTTCCAGTTTCCATCCTAAAAATAGTAACTTGAGAGGTGTCCGGTGAGTTCGTATTCTCTCCTAGGATTTTGTTCTCTCCTGTGACATGCTCATCTCTCGTGTCCCACCCCACACTCACAAACATGTCTCATTGTGTTACCCCTTATCTTAGGGCTTAGCACAATATAGAACAGATGGGAGGTATTCAGTAAGTATTTTTTTAAGTGAGTGAAAATACTAATATGTTTTGAATTTGTGTATGTATATATGTAGATTGAGAAGAAGCCTCTTTGAAATAGGAAGAAAATAAACACACTATGATTGGGAAACAGATTTTTATCATAAGTTGTTATCATGTAAATTGTTTATCAAAACTGTAACAATGTAGTTTCTCAAAGTTGTTTTAGTGTAATACTAAATAAGTTATGTTATATAAGTAAAATTTATGATTTCACCTTTCCTTTCTACTGATAGATATGGAATGAAACTTTTTAAAAGTAATTTTCACAGAAAATCTGTTGTGTAACTATTTTTTTAACCCCTTAAAATGTTGAGGAGTTTCCATCATTATAAAGATTATCATATGCCATTCCAGGAACAATAATTATTTGAATTTAAAGTAATATTATTGCTAAGCCTCTGTTTAATTTGTAAACATTCAACAGTCTTGAGAAAAAACTCATGGCTTTAGACCAGCATGCAAAAATAAATGAGCTGAAATCCAGACATAGCTGACCAGCCTTTGTCTTAATTGGCTTCTTCAATAGATTTTGTTTCTACTTTTGCTTATTGATAGCAAAGGTATTCTATTTTTAAATAATTATGGCAAGGCTTCTGTTCTGAGATCTGTCTGGACTACAGAAGCCTTATATTTTGCATTTTATGAATTCTATCGGGAATAATAGCTTTTTCCTGGTATCTAATGACTAGGACAGATAAAGTCTTGAAAGCACCAGGATCCCAGAGTTTGAAATGTTTATAATTTCTCTGTCTGTCCTTTCCCATTGTCTCCTTTATCGCACTCCTGTCTGCCTGGCTGCCACAGGAGACATGGATTACAGCTGGTTGGATCATGCGTCTTGGCATAGCAGTGAGGCTTCCCCAATGTCTTTGGTGAGACATGTGGAGCCTTACTATTTAATTTCCGTTATCATTTCACTTTTCCTTTTTATTTACACCTCTGCATGTTTTCTTTTTTGTATCTTTGTTTTGTTTTGTTTTATCTCACACTTGTAGGGGACAGTCAAAAGGGAAAAAGAAAAACTAGCGAGCAGGGAGTTTTGTCGGATTCTAACACCAGGTCTGAGAGACAAAAGAAAATCATGTACTGTGGTGGCCACTCTTTGGAAGAGGATTTGGAATGGTCCGAGCCCCAGATTAAGGACTCTGGGGTAGATACCTGTAGTAGCACCACTCTTAACGAGGACCATAGCCATAGTGAGAAGGTACTGGGACTGCGGCCCCCTTCAGCCTGCTCATTCGGTCTTCCTTCGTTTGCTCTCTGTCACTCATTGAAACAGGACATAATGGAAGGACAGGGCATTTCAAGGTCAATGTAGCATTTCCTAAGGTGCAGAAAAGAAAAACAAAACAACTAAGCCAGAAAGCCTTTTGCTTGCTTGGCTGTTCTCCTTGGTCAGCAGCATACCAAAATCTAAGTCAATGAAAATAAAACCTAGGAACAAAGGAATGTTTGGTGTGCAGTCGAATGAGAGAACTCTGAAATGTTAAAAACAATAAATAAATATTTTTGGATTGGCTTATTTTAATGTTCATATCTATTTTCCTCGGGATGGAAATCAAATTATGAATAGTGTGCATCCCAGGTGAAAGGGAGATGACCGGGTCTGTTTGCACAGAAGGAGTTGTTTTTCTTTTTTCCCCTTCGCTGTCTTTTGTTCTCTTGTTGCCATAGCGTTCTAATGGAGCATTAATTAGTATTAGATTCATTGCCATCTGCTTTGATATTTATTGTTTATTTGCTTTTAGTGTAGCATTGTTCGAATCCTTCACCATGTACATGTGATTGCCTGGAACTTGTCTTTCGCCTGCTGCACTTTGCATGGACTTTGCATGCTGCTTTCAGGCAACCATGCAATTACTATGATTACACAAATCATTTATTTTGTTGCCTAGCATATTATTAATAATGAAACGGTTCATCACGTATAAAGCCATAATTCTAAACCCAAGAAAGAAATAGCCCGGTAATATGATTATTATTTATCAATAATTGTCTTTGAATGATCTATTAAAAGAAATTACCATGTGTGGTCTCCCGTGTCGTTAATGCCAGCGTTGTAGAAGCTGAGCTTGAGTCAGGGAAATCATAAGATTTAGAGACCAGCATAGGCTATATAGTAATATCAAGGCCAACTGAAGCTACATAGTGAGTTCCAGGCAAGGCTAGGTTATGTAGCAAAAGCCCATTAAAAAAAAAAAAACTCAATGAATTTTTGTGAAGTGAGAAACATAATCTGTTGATCTATGAGTAACTCCTGTTTCTTCACACAGACTCAGTAGGACAGGTATTGGTGGTTTACATAGTTTTGGAATTCTAGCTGTAATGTTCATTATGAGTTTAGATTTTATGTTTTAATAGTTTTCCCTTTTAACTTTTGCTATGATAGAGTATTTTTAAAAATCCCAAAAGTGCTGGAAGAAGAAATTGTCACTTTTTAGTGAGGCCAATTAAGTAGATTTTTTACTGTACATTTTCTGCCTGTGAGGTCTTAATTAATCTTCAGCAAGTTGAGTTAGCATATATTTTAAAGAAAAGTTCAGAGCTATTATCTCTTAGTATTGTGGAAGATGATAACGGAAGGTTTTTATAATTGGATTTAAAAGAAACCTTTGAATTCATAAAACTAGGGTTTATAAAAATCCTGCAGTGTTTAGGTCAGTAATTTGGAATGTAAAGTGGTTTGTGTAATCATAATACTTTAGAATTCTGGAGTTTAGAGATACTGAACAATCACGTAATTTGACATAAAATTAATTTTTCTTATTTGTTGATGTTGTATGTCAGCACCCTGTGACCTGGCAGCCATCCAAAGATGGAGATCGCTTAATTGGTCGTATTTTATTAAATAAGCGTTTGAAAGATGGGAGTGTACCTCGAGATACAGGAGCAATGCTGGGCTTAAAGGTACGTAATAAACTTTATGGAATTTGGCTCTGTATCACTTTACAGCTCTATCAGTAAAGCAAATGGAACTCTTTCTACCTCTGCCAAGTTAGGAGTTATCTCATTTCCATTTTCAAGAATTTAAAAATATTGTCGTTCATTCCTTTGAACTCATTTTCCAAGTATTTTAAAGACGTTTCCAAGGTAGATGGGTGTCAGGAGGTGAGGAAGAAGCCAAGACTCCTGTCCCTAGAACTCACACCCAAAGCCAGGCATGGTGGCGCACCCCTGCAGTCCTGATGCTAAGGGGTAGACGCGCAGATCTCTTGTTCTTCCTGCCTTGTCAGCCTCATCTACTAGGCAAATTCCAGGCAGGCAATGAAAAAGGACAGACACTAAAGGTGTCCTCTGACCTTTTTGCAAATGCACGCATACCCATGCACACTCATAGACATGTATGACTGCAAACACATACATCATTAACACTATTCGCATGTGAACCTACAAACCTGCAAACATTCATGCATACTCATGCACATACATGTACCTCTGCAAACACAGACAAATCTATACATACACTACACAGGTACACCTGAAAACACACATATCCAGATACACTTATGCACATGTATACCTGCAGATACACACATCCACACACATGTATACCTCCAGATACACATATCCAGACACATTATGTGCATGTATGCCTGCAGATACACATCATATCAAGATACACTCGTGCACATGTATACATGCAAATACACACATCCAGACACACTCATGCATGTGTATACCTGCAGATACACATACTCAGACACACTCATGAGAATGCATACCTACAGATAGACCGCCTATCCAGATACACTCATGCACATGTATGCCTGCAGATACACACATCCAGACACACTCATACACATGCACATTAGCAAACTCACACACCTTTGCACACTTATATACATACACCTGCAGACACACACATCCATGCACATGCTTACGCATACATGTACACCTGCAAACACACACATATATGTGCACATAGTAAATCTCTGATAGCCATGATATTAGTTTTATATACATTTTTAAAAGACATTGATAGTAACCTGGTTAGAAAATAGTTTGAATCCTAAACACAACGAATGTACTTGAGCTCAAACTATGACCAATTCTGGACACTCTTTCCATTTCTCTGCTGTTCCTAATGTAATGTTTTTATTGTTGCAATTATTGTTGTTGTTTGATGCAGAATAGGTATCGAATAAAAATTTTCTTAATTATAAATTTCCTTTCAATAATAAAGTAATCTGTAACTTAAAAACTATCTTGCCTATATTTATGTCAATATTAAAGTAATACTATTTAATTTTTTATTATGCAAACTTAAAAATACATGCGCTAATATCAAAATATAATTTGGTATTGATGTAGTAAATTGTGTTTGTATTTGTAGATTGTGTTTTAGAGAAAACTGGTTTGTACTGGTTTGCGGTGTCAGGGTCAAACTGAAGTGCTTATGCATGCTAGTCAGACACTCTACAGCTGAGTTATATTAACCTCAAATATGCCATTGGAAATCCGGAAACCTCTAACTACGATGTCAGGTGCCTGCTTTTCAAGATAGAGTTTCTCTGGGAAACAGCCCTGGCTGTCCTGGCTCACACTCTAGACCAGGCTGGCCTTGAACTCAGAGACCTGCCTGCCTCTGCCTCTGAAGTGCTGGAATTAAAAGCATGCACCACCACCACCTGGCTAGGTGATAAAAATATGTGTTTATTTCAACTGTAATTTTCAAATATGCAAAATAGAGGGTATTTAGCTTTTGTACATCTAATATATTTAATGAAAAACTGAAATAAAAACGAGTAAATGTTTTCAGAGTTAAGCCATTGTTATACAAATTGTACTCTAGAATATAGTAAATGGTAGGTATTTAAAAAAAACTTTGGTGTGGTGTGATTAGATGGTGACAGTGTGCCTGACCCTTACCTGATTATGTCATGACTCTCGTCGTCAGCTGTCATAGAGGTCATGAGGAGATGGTGGCAATGGTGGGGCTTAAACTCAGGATGCTGTGAGGATACAGGATGCTGATACAGAGATTAGGAAGACTTGGGTTTGATTCCAGTTAGAGTAGTTACGCTTTTATTTGTTTTAATGGTGGAGGAGGTTTATTGTCGACAGAGAGAGAGAGAGAGAGAGAGAGAGAGAGAGAGAGAGAGAGAGAGAGAGAGAGAGAGAGAGAGAGAGAAGGTAGACTCCTACCCAGTGTTCCGGGAGACAGAAACAGACTGGGAAAGACTATTGGAGACTGTAGCTTTCCTTTGCGTGGTTAAAGCAGGATGAAATAAACAGTATTGAGTGCAGTGCCTGGCTTATTGTCTCAATTGTGTAATAACCGCCACTGACAGTATAATTATACTAAAAGTAACAGTGATATTGGTGCTAAATATTCTGGAGCAACAACAGTTTTCTTAAAATATTTTCATGAAGATGTGAGGCCTTAAGAAATTTACATTACTGAGTATAACTCACCACAGTTGGGGAATATATGCCTGGGATAAGATGAGGTAGCTAAGCAGGTCTAATTTCAGTTATCTTTGGCTCACGTTGTAAGAGACAAACCAGTTTACTCCAGTCAATGAATGTAGTCCCTCTCCTTTGCTGCTCCTGCTTTGATAAGTAGTGATTAACCAGAATCAAAACATTAATTTTGTAGGAGCATGGTATTTTACTATGATTTTGTAGCATTCCTAATGCTTGTTCCCAATTTGTATTTTTTTTCTAAAATAAGTATTTTAATAGAAATCAAAACGTTGGAAAATTGGGCTTCAAATAATTTGAAGTTTGTATTATTTCTGATGAAGCTAATTAAATTTTACAATTTTCTCAAGGAAGATCTATTGACATTGTGGATATTATCATTATGACCAAAACATTATTAATAAAAATACAGCATTCTTTCATCATCATAGCAAAAGTAATGGATACTTTTATATTAGAATATTTGAAATTTATATTTAAAATGTTTATATAATTTAAAATTGAGAAATAAAAATGAGAATTCAATAGTAAGGAAGAAATTGTTGAGTTGAATCTAAAATACTTGTATTTTCAACAAGAAAACTAAATTACAATAAATTTGGAATAAAAAATGTTCCTTAATGCAGACGTGGCAATAGTATATTAAGAAATGAAGTTTAGGACGTTAAACTGCAGGTTTTTTTTTTTTTTTTCGAGACAGGGTTTCTCCGTAGCTTTTGGTTCCTGTCCTGGAACTCACTCTGTAGACCAGGCTGGCCTCGAACTCACAGAGATCCGCCTGCCTCTGCCTCCTGAATGCTGGGATTAAAGGCATATGCCACCACCGCCCGGCAAACTGCAGTTTTAGAATTGTCATTGCTCTGGTCTTCTTCCTCGCACCTTTGCCTGTGCTCACTTTCACAGTGTGAAGGCTTTGATCCTCTCCTCCTTTCACAGGTCGTGGGAGGGAAGATGACGGAGTCAGGGCGGCTTTGTGCGTTTATTACCAAAGTGAAAAGAGGAAGCTTAGCTGATACCGTGGGACACCTTAGACCAGGTAGGTTCCGCCCACTGGATAGTCACGTGGCAAGTGTCAGCTGGGGTGAGAGGATGCTTGCCTGGCCTCGGAACACCTTTGGCTTTGATCCTTACCACTGCAAAAGGAAAAATTCTAGCCCTGAACAGTTACTAAAAAATTCTCACTTATAAGTTGTTTGAGCAGTAATAATTAGTTTCTTTCATGTGTCTTAAAATCTTTAGTCATTAATGGAAAGCTAAAGCTCTTATTCATTGTTATACGAGACATAATATCCTTTAAATTTCTCTACAGCGAGCAATCAAATGGACACAACCTGTCTGTAGTGTACTTCTGATGACCTCATCTTTTCAGATGAAATATGCTATTCTAGCCGTCAATTCCTGGGCTCCTTAGTTGTTCTCAACACATACGCTGGTCTGCTAGGGGAATGCTTGGTGTGATTGACTGAAACCCAATGATTGCTTTTTCTTTGAATATATTTGATGGCCTCAGCTTATAGTTAAGAGATTATTCCTGCCCCTGTAGGTGATGAAGTTTTAGAATGGAATGGGAGGCTATTGCAGGGAGCCACGTTTGAGGACGTTTACAACATCATCCTAGAGTCCAAACCTGAACCCCAGGTTGAGCTTGTTGTTTCAAGGCCGATTGGGTAAGTCAGTCTTGGTAATTTTTTTGACTAATTTTTAAGATTTATTAATTTTTATTTCATGGGTATGAGTGTTTTGTTTGAATGTATGTATGAATGTATATACATATGTATGTAAGTTCACAGCATGCATGCCTGGTACACACAGGTTGTAAAGAGGGCCCGTTCCCTGATGCACGGGGTCAGCAAGAGGGCCGGTCCCCTTGTTTTGGAGTTAGGGATGGTTGTGAACCATTCTGCAGGTGCTGGGAGCCAGAGCCTGGTCCTCCCGTGAGCAGCCCATGCCATTGCTCCAGCCCTGCTTCAGTCATTTATTTGTGTGTGACGGTGGCGGCTGCTCATTAGTTTGGACTGCAATCCACAATTTTCTGACTACTTTATGGAAATATGTGTTTTTCATAGGCATCTCTTTTCTTTAATTAAAACATTTGACAAATTAATACTTTTTCTTTACCTGATTATGCAAAATAGGTTGCTCATTGCAAAAAAAAGAAGAAATATTTAGTTTTTTTAAAAAAGAATTATTGTTATCTTAATAACTAGTATATAGCTAAGGTCATTAGTCTTTTGTTTTTGTGTTTTTAAATGGAGATTCTAGCTGACAAAAGAGAGAACCAAAGAGCATGTAATTCCCAGATTCAGGACTTATTTAAGGAAAATAGTTTCTTAAAACTTGTGATTTGCAATGAAACAGGCACCTCTAAGACATTTTGTCACTGTATTTTATTGCCAATAGCCTATATACTCAAATGGTGGCAGGAAATTTAACCCTATCATCTACGCTGTGAGGATTAGTCATGAAGTGTCTGGCAGTCCTTTTTCTGCAGGAACTTGCATTGTATGGTAACATAAAAGGAGCATCAAAATTAAAAATGTCTAACTGTACGGTAAAGTGCTGAATGAATTATTAAATTACTGAGTGGCTCACAGCATCTATGAATGGAGGCTGCAGACATTATTCCTGTAATTATGTTCTGTTTCCATTCACTTAGGAAACCATGGGTGGCAACCTTTGCCTTTTTAAAGTTTGTAATATGGCAAAACTATAGTGTATCAGATTAGTATGTTAATCAAATTTATTTTAGTGTTACAGTATACCCAAATTATATTTTAATATTCTAAGTAATTATAGTCTTTTTTTATAAATGATTCTCCTATATCAAATAAGTATAGGTATTTTTGGTGTAAATATGGTTGCAAGGTAATTTTGGAATTTCCCATAAGAATCATGTTTGCTTGTTACAAATGTAACCACTCCACTTAAAATTTTAGTTATAATTGGAATGTTTTAATGATATTTAATTTGAATTCCAATATGTTATTTATAATAGAAGGCCAAAATAAAAAAAATGAATTAATATATTTATAAAAAACCTTGTTGAATACAAAGCTTTTTTTTTTTTTTTTTTTTGGTTTTTCGAGACAGGGTTTCTCTGTGGTTTTGGAGCCTGTCCTGGAACTAGCTCTTGTAGATCAGGCTGGTCTCAAACTCAGAGATCCACCTGCTTCTGCCTCACAAGTGCTGGGATTAAAGGCGTGCGCCACCACTGCCCGGCTCTACAAAGCATTTTTTATAGTAGATGTTTCCATAGTCAAGCATATAGGGAATAAAGTGTATTTTCATAAATCTGATACAGATGCATATAGATCTTAATTCTTCTTAGAGTTAGCAGCAAAAATATGATCCTATACTTAAGGGAAAAGACCGAACTATGTGGCAGATTCTAGGCTATCTCCACCTCTATGGAAGATCTAGGCCAACTTGTCCAAAACAAAACAAAAGATTATGGTTGGTCGTGTTTTCATAATGCTCCCACTGAGCTCATTTTTTCCTATGTCACTTTTTATTTGCAATTTTCATTAAAATAGAAGATGCATCAATTGTTAAGTTTATTTTTTCTCCTGTTCTGTCATTTCAGAGATATACCTAGAATACCTGATAGCACACACGCACAGCTGGAATCCAGTAAGTTTAATTTATTCTAGGGTATGACTTCAACATGTCATTCATCAAAGTTCTAACAGAGAAATTAATCTATTAATATGGAGTAAGATAAGTACAAATAATAGTACTTAACAACGATTGGGAAGTCGTTGAGCAGCACTTTAGAGGGTGGCTGTTACAGGGAAAGCTTCCCAGGCACGGGGTACAGATCCTGACAGACAGGCACGCGAGGCGGGAAGACTAGGTACTAGGAAACAGCGCGGCAGGGCCCAATGGAGGTAGCATGGAGGAAGACAGAAGGCTGCGAAGGAAGCAGCCAGAACAGCAGCAGCCAAATATCAGTCTTCAAAGCACCTAAAGACTTCCGCTTGCCCCGGAGGACACGGGAGCTCTTGGGACATGCTCTCCAAGGGATATTTATACTTATTTGATTCTATCATTAAAGTTATTGGATGCAGTCGATGCTAAGCAACACAAAGCTTGGAAACATGACATGTCTTTTTCAGACATAACTGGTACACAGGGGACTTTCTGGTCTGGAGGATAGGATTGAAATCTTAATGCTTTCTGTGTTTGGACCTCAGGTATCACCGTAGCTGGCAAGTACTGCTCCACCAAGCCCCTTTCCCAGGCCCGTAATCCTCATGACTCTTAGCATCACCTGAATTCCTTCTGCGTGCTTCCCTTTCCCAGCCTTTGCTGTTAGTATCTCACTGAGGATAAAGTGCTCACTGCTGTTTTCTGTCTCTTCCTCCCAATCCATACTGTAAAGAGCTGGGAAAGCCATTTTCCTCCTTTTAGGACATATAATTCCACCAGTGTCTTAACACCTCTATCTATTCACATTTGAACTGGTTCCTTCAACCGCACAGGAACAAATTCATGCATATAACATTTGGTTATTGCTGTTTCTGCTGTTCTGTATCTTTTTTTATAGCCCCTTATTTCAATTATGATGGTGTAATATTTTATATCCTTCAAGATATGACTTAAAAGTCACCCAGAAATTTTAATAATTTTGGAATTCTAGTACTTATGTTCTAAGCATTTAAAATTTGCGTGTTCTTGAGGTAGTTCACTGTTTTGATTTTTCTTCCTTCTCCATTTTTCGTGTTCTCTCATAAAGTATGAGTATAGTACACTTCACAACAGACCAGGAAATCCTACTGTGGCCCGTCGCTGTCGCAGTCAGCACAGCATTGGTGTGACTGGGTCTGAACAGAATCCTACATTGCACTCATGCAAAACCAGGCCCAGCCACAACAGATGCAATTGTCTGAAACAAACAGCAAAGCAGTACCAAAAGCTCCCTAAGGCTGCTGATAATACTGTAGCACTAAAAGCTTTAAACACAGAAGCTGAGTGTTAGGAAAGAGCCAAAGGCATTTTATTTTCCTTTGTGTACAATTGTCATTTCAGGTTCTAGCTCATTTGAATCTCAAAAAATGGATCGTCCTTCTATATCCGTTACCTCTCCCATGAGTCCTGGCATGTTAAGGGACGTCCCGCAGTTCTTGTCTGGACAGCTTTCAGTACGTAATCACTCAATTCTTCTCTTTGGGAATATTAAATGATGTTTTTAAAATATGATGTTGAGGATTTTGTTTTTCTTTCTTTTTGTTTTTTTTTTCTGATCCAAGTTCTTTCTAGAACATAATTGTGCCTTTGCCCTATCAGCTTTTATATTTTTGATACTTTATAGTTACTTAAAATGTAATTTGGGCTCTTTATTACAATGCTTTATTTTAATTTAGGTTTATAGAGTTTAATGATTTTTATGAAGATATGTAATTCCTGTTTTACCCTTAATTATTATTCCAGAAGTCGAGTTGATGATTTTTACTCTTTGTTTTAAAGACTGGGAATTGCTATAGTTTCTCCCGAGAGAGGAAAATGGTCTATCAGACAAAGATTGTATTAAGGTAGAAAAAAATATTTATGTATTCTTCTTTGCTTTTCAGTCTTAAGGAAATTTCGGTTGACTTTGATAATATGGATTTTTAATATAGCTCCATATATATACATATATATGTATATATCTATATATGGATTCTAGAGGTGTTTTTTTTTATCAACAGACAAGACTAAATAATATGAGGGATACAGTAATAGACTCGTGTGTATGGAGTAACCTTCCATTATGTAAGCATTGATCTGTGCATTTTCTATATTATAGTCTACTAGAAGAGGGTTGGAAATTTAAGTCCTTTTATTACATTATAATTTCCTTATTAGAACACATTCAAATTCATTGTTATAGTAATTGTTAATCTGCTAGCAATTGTTAAATTTGAAATTTCCTAGGTACTAAAGAAAAGAACTATTTAAGTCCTCAAAAAACAGAAATTAAATATTGATTGTAAATTATGACATTTAGATCCCAAACTATTATGAAGTTGTATCTTAAATTCCTTAGAATTACCTTCTTGTTAAATAGCTGAAAATTTCTCCTTTTCATTTTAAGGGGAAAGGCAGTCCTTGGTGTTTTTGGAAGCTGTCTTTCTTTGTTACTTCATTTCCAATTCCAAGATCTTATACACATTGTGTTAGGAGGGTAGGTGGGAGGTTCAGGGAAGGGGTCTGGAGAAATCTCAAACTCAGCAGTTTTCCTCCTGGTTCAAAACTGCCCTGGCAATAGGACAGAGCTGCCAAGGCTGTGAAGGAGTGCAAGTCCATGTAATTGTAGCTTAATATGAAAAGTAAATTTTTATAGCTTGGAAGGGAAATATTTTATGACTTTAGTTAAAATGTTAATTGCATACATTTTAAAATTATGCACAGATACGCATTCAATTTACATACGAACAAGACAAGGATTATTGATATAATTCTTATTTGTTATCAGAAATCTAGTTAATAAAGAAAAACAAAAAGTAAAATCACTAATAATCCTGACATCACATAGGACTTTATAATATGTGCATTTATTTTAAAAATAAAATTTCATGTAGTTTTGCATTCTCTTTTTCCTTTCTCTTTTTTTTGATC